ATTAGTTACAAAAATGTAATGTTCTCATTCTTTTCTGTTCATAAATTTTGAGTGTAATTGTTCACTCCTGAAGATGAAAGTGGTTTGAGATATCCATGTAATGAATAAATGATGATGCTAACATGTCATCCATGTTATGTCAGTTTATACAAGTTTGCCATCACTTGCACTTCATTTTATGATTTTGTAGTAGTTTTATGATAAAGGCAAATCATCGTGGTACATCTTGATTTAGTTATTTAATATGTAAAAAAATATTAATATGTAAAAAAATAATAATTATGTTGTAAGTTTCTTTGTTTTAATCAATATATTATCACCCATTTATATTGTAAGTTTCTTTGTTTTAAAGCTTTTTATTTTTACAAATAATTTTTTTTTTCTCTATTGTATGTTACATACGGATAAATCCGTATGTAGAAAAAATATTTTTTTATTATATATAGATATTATATACGGATTTATCCGTATATAATTTATATACGGATATATCCGTATATAATTTAGCTACGATGATTTTATATACGGATTTTTGTCCGTATATAAGTTGTATGTAACCAAGTGTTATATACGGATTTTAGGTTTATATACGGATTTTGGTTGTATGTAATTCAACTTTTTCTTGTAGTGAGTTTTGAGTTTTTTAACTCATTCACAAGACAACACCCTTATCATGTGTGATAACAGTTCAACTAAACTTTCCAAAAATCCAATTATGCAGGGAAGAAGTAATCATATCAGAGTGCATTTTCATTTTTTAAGAGATCTTGTGAAAGATAAAGAAATTGAGTTGGTGCATTGTGAAACTCATGAACAAGTTGCAAATTTAATGACTAAACTTGAAATAAACTAATTGCAGTCTGCAGTCAGTTTAAGGGAAGGAATGAAACGATTTTTTTATTGTTAAAGTTATTTTTGCTTCTGTTTTAATAAATTCTGATATATAGGGAGAATCTTGTTTTTAGGAATAATTTATTTTGAACAAGGTCACGTAAGTTTTTGCTAAGTTTTACTGATTGAGATTTATTTGTGCTTTAATTTACCATATACTATCTGATACATACTCTCTCTTTTAATTTGAAAACTCTAGAATTGTACAATTCAACTGAAAAAAATAAGAAAATTTGTTACCCCTCAGTTTTAAAGTTTTCACGAATTTTAATTTTAATTTTTTGTGATTTCATTTTTATATTGTAGGTATCTGATTAAGGGAGTGTGCCAAACAATGGATGTAATGAAGAAGAAGAAAATTAGATATTGTTATTGAATATCTTTATGAGTCATATTTTTAGTATTGAACATTTGTATTGAATATATGTATTGAACATATGTATTGAACATATGTAATGAACATATGTAATGAACATCTTTCTTTTTAATTTTTATGTATGAACAATTAGTTGTATGAATGATGTTTATTTTATACAATATTATTCAATTTTAGTTCATAATAATTTATTGTTTGTTTTCTCAACAAAACCATTTTTATTATAATCCAATTTTATTACAATAAAAAAAATAAAAACAAATTAACTGGATACATTTCCGGCGGTTTTAAAACCCCGGTTAACTAAACCATGCAAATTAGGGGCGGTTTTGGGAGAACCCTAGCTAGTTCTGGCGGTTTTTCAGTAACCCCTCTAATACCGGCGGTTCTCACAAAACTCCGTTAATACCGGCGGTTTTCACAAAACTCCTGGTAATTCCGGCGGTTTTTGAAAACCCTCGTTATTTTCGGCGGTTCTGCAAAAAACCGCCGGTAATTACTTAGCGACGCAGGTTTTCCCAACGATTTTTCTAACCTTGGGTAACATATTTTCCGGAGGTTAAAACTGCCGGAAACGCAAAAAATAACCCTCGGTAGAAATCTAATTTTTTGTAGTGTACATGCACTAAGTTTTATGTATTTTGTTTGACTATATAATAGTCTTGACGAAATAAAGTAGCACAGTTTTGCACCAGAATATTCATATACTCTTCAGGTTCATGGCATCAGTGTTTTAACCTGTTGCTGAAATTTTCAGTTTGCTGTAGATTTCATTGCTAATAGATTTGAATTTGCAGGATGATAGTGATAATGTCACTCATTTTTAATGTTAGCGCGAGAACCTATAATTCCATTCAGTGATAGACCATTTAAAGTACTCAGAATAAATAAAGAAATTATTAAATTGAACACATAATATTTGTCCGGATTCCTACATTGATTGGATTTGATGCTTACTAATAAATATTAAATATTGCTATTGGTTAGCCAAGCATAGTTTTTTCTTTAGAAGAAGGTCCTGAGATTCTTTTCAAGGCCCTTCTGTTTTTCATTGCCTCAGGTTAATTAACCTTACCAAGTGTTACTATATGGGAACACAAAGGTTTTTTCTCTCTCTTGGTATCACCTGTTATATCTTTTGAGATGTTAGCAAACATTCTTTTTAGGCCTTTTCTAGTTATGTAATTCATTTGTTTTTCGAATAGATTGAAAGCGTTTATATGTGAAACCAATCTCTGTTCAAAGTTTCACATCGACTAGAGATTATACCAATTTACAATATATAAGTGTGTGCAAATCTTATTTTACAAACCGATTTTGTAAGTAAAATTAGACTTAAAATTCATTTCTTAATATATATTGGATCACTATCTGACCATCTACTAATGTCAAATCTTATGCTCAATATCTATATATTGTTAGTGATTGTTATGAGAGTAGTTCAATATCACAACTCATCCAACATTAGACAAACACCCTCCATCAACAAACACATGTTTTTTTCCTTTAATGAACACACATATATATCCTGGACAAGACTTTAATCCATCTCGATGACATTAATTATCCTTTCTATTTTCATCACAAGTTAGTTTCTGCCTACCAACTCTCCTTTCATTTCACTTTCAATGTTTATGATTTTAGGAAAAGGTTATTATATATGTAGACATACACCTTAATCCTTCAACAGCATTGAGAAATTAATTCAAGAAAATAATAATATTTTTAATTTTATAGTTGACATCTTAAATTATTTCACGTTTTTAAAATAAAAAAATTTCATGTTAATATATTTATATATATTTTTTATGAATGTTAAGTAAAATACGGGTGTTTGTTTATTCTTAAAAATTCCATGTTGCTATATTCTTGAAAACCATATTCCTAAAAATCTCAACTATTTTTAAAAATAATAGATATAAAGAAGATATTAAAGTAATTAATAGATACACGTCAATATATTTACCAAACCTTAGCTCAGATCTTTCGCTGTTTGTATTTTTTGCATTAAAATGTCGAGTTGCCTACTTCCTGCTTCTCTCTATATATAGATAGTTATGGCAATTGTCAAAACCATCATCACATAGCTATACAACACTTCAATGGAGTTTGGAAGTGCTCACAACTTTCTAGAGGGCAAAGCCATTTTAGTCATTGGTGCAACGGGATTCCTGGCAAAACGTATTTCTTCTTCCAAATTGTAACATACTTTGTACAACAGAATTGATTATCAGTACAGTATGATTAATCTTTGTTAGTGTTAATGCAGTTTTGGTGGAGAAGATATTAAGGGTTCAGCCAAACATAAAAAAGCTATACCTACTTCTAAGAGCAGGAAATTCAGAAGAAGCTACACAACGTCTGCACGATGAGGTAGTCATTATTGACTTAACTTATCTTTATTTGTAATCATAACTTTAACTGAGCACATATGTATCAGGTTCTGTCGAAGGATTTGTTCAAGGTGCTACGAGGAATGTGGGGTGCAGAGTTTGTCTCCTTCATATCTGAGAAGGTGTTGGCTGTTGGTGGCGATGTTTCTGTTGAGAACTTGGGAATCAAAGACACAAAGCTGAGGGAAAAGTTGTGGGAAGAGACAGACATCATAATAAATTCTGCTGCTACTACCAAGTTTTATGAGAGGTTAATTATTTTTAAACTAAAAATAGTGAATTCTTGTAATGTCTGATACGTTAATTTTCAATATGTATATAATTTGTTGTTTTTTTCCTACAGATTGGATGTTGCGATGGGGATTAATACGATGGGTGCTCTTCACGTTCTGAACTTTGCCAAGAACTGTAGTAAATTACAAATGCTTCTTCATGTATCTACAGGTACGTGTTTATAATAAGAAACGTGGAAAAGCTTTGATGATATTAACAGAATAAGTTTATCTTGTTCCCACATTAAACTAAGCATTTATTAAAGTGTAATGCAAATTCTAGAAGAATGTAGAAGCTCCTTAAATAGAAGAATTGAAATGTAATACAAGTTCTAGAATATTCTAGAAAAACCTAAGATAGGAAGAAAAATCAAGAATATTCTACATAGGTAAAAATCTAGAACATTCCACATAAGTTGTGGCTAGTATGTTCTAGAATAATCTATGGGTCTATAAATACCCATGAACTCTACCATTTGATGTATGAAGCCAACATCTACCATTTGTATGAGCTAACATCTACTACAACTAAAGACAACTACAACACTTCTTCCAACTACTACTTCTACATTCAACTATCTCTACATTTTCTCTATCC